GGGAAAGAAGTCATACAAACCCACGTAGCCACGCTCTCTGCTGGGCATCTTTCCCTCTCTTTGCCGTTATTTATGGACCCTCTGGCTGTTTTCAGCAAAATTTGACTGAAGGATACTTAGTCCCTACAAATTGGGCAAAAATTAGACGTCGGGCAGGAGGAACAAACCCCTGTTGGCATCCGTAGAAAGGGAAGGTTGGACTTGGGAGCTCGTTACTGCTCTTGCTGCTGGCACATGGGATCCCCTGGCCCGTGACACCGCGGAGGTGCTGCTGGCCACGAGCCACCAAGTCATTCCAGTTTCCATCGGCATCGGTGGGGAAGGATCAGCCCCTTCCAGCAGCCTGCCCAGAATTCCTAACTCTGTATCGCTGGCCACCGTCAACGCGGTGGCAGAGGCAGAGCTTCACGTTTTCGTTCTTCACTGTGGTTTTGTGTTTAATTTAACGGCTTTTTTATATTTTGTGTTAGCCGCTAAATTTTGAGGCAAATACAGCTTTTATATAAATTTGACCCCGTTAGGTACCAAGGACTTAGTCCTCTGACATCGAATCCTTCTGCTGTCTCAAAACAAGGCGCAGAGACGCAAAGGGTGTTCCTTAGAGAAAACCTGGAGCAACTCCAGACCCGTGGGTGCCCGAGAGGACCCTACGTCGCGTGCTGGTGGCAGCTGGAGCGCGCGCCTGCGCTCACCCCTACGATGTAATTTTGGAGCTCTCTGTCTTTGCCAGCCCCATCTCCTTCGCAACTGCACGTCAGCGGGTGCCGTAGGTGCCCAGTTAGGGACTGGTCTTCCCTCAGAGCTGATGGACAGCGGGACGGATCAGGATTTTTCTGCTCAGGCTGCCCGTGTGCTTTTGGATGTGCTGTCGAGTTTCAAAAAAAAGGTGGTTTTGCATTACCAGCGTTTTTTAACCGTCGCCTTTCGGAGCGTGGTTTACTTTAGAGCATCGATTGATCGTGCGCCTGATTTGAGGATGATACAAGCCCTAGAAAATCAAGTTTTGGCATTTGTATTTCACAGGAGTTAAGTTCCTTTACGCAAGTATAAACCTAAAGAAACACCCAGAGACGGTTTATTTTATATAATAGCTTCTCTGCCTCTTGAATCCAGCATTTGAGATTGAATTTCAGCTTTCTGCCTCCTCCTTTTTGGAGTCTTACAGCATTCACAGACATCCTTCTTTTATCCTCAAATTTTCAATGCTTCCTGTCAGCTCCGAGCTGATTTTTATTTTATTTTGCTTCTAAAGTGGAACTGCACTGGTTAATTTGTTTTGGTGCTTAAGGAAAAAGACACCACCTCTGCATTTCTGATCTAAAAACTGGTGGGAGGGACTCAAAAATCAGTTGGCTTTTTTTTTTTTTTCCCTTTATTAAATTTTTTTAACCCTTTTTGAGGGAAGGGAAGCAGCACAGATTTCAAGCAAGTCAGATATTTATGGGCATCGCCTCGCACTTCTGGTTTGATTTTCTGTAGCGTTTGGAAAGTTGTTTAAATTTCTCAGAGCACTGCAGCTTGTTGTACGGCCTTAAGACATTCCCGATTACTCCATCCCTAAATCCCTCATAGCACAAAAGCGCTGGGAGCTTTTGGGATGAAATGAGGGAGATTTTGACTTCCTCGCAGTTTTACGCTTGGCCAGGGCCGGCAGCCCTCCGTCGCGTCCGGCTCCTTTTCATATCAGCAGGTGGGAGCCCAAATTAATTCTAATATTAATTCTCTTAAACTCTGTGCTACCTTCTGCTTTCCCTTGGCATGGGCAGTGACAAAAAGACTACTGGTTTTTAAAAAATAGCCGTAACTTTCCAACTCTCGGGCAGTAACGTGATTCAGGTGTATTTAAGCCGCAGACACCCCAGGGGGGATGCTCTGTTTCTTGAAGAATCTTATTTTTTCCATTAATTTTTTTTTCAACGTTAATGGGGACGTTTTTATTATTAGGCTTGGTTTTGTGTTGTTGTTTTTTTAATAACCTTGTCAGATTTGAAAGGCAGTATCCAGGTAACAGTATGTACATGAGGAGGAGAGAACGGATGGTTTGGGTCTTTCAAACGTGCTCTTGTACCTCTCCCAGCTGGCTGGAATCTTATTTTTTCCATTAATTTTTTTTTCAACGTTAATGGGGACGTTTTTATTATTAGGCTTGGTTTTGTGTTGTTGTTTTTTTAATAACCTTGTCAGATTTGAAAGGCAGTATCCAGGTAACAGTATGTACATGAGGAGGAGAGAACGGATGGTTTGGGTCTTTCAAACGTGCTCTTGTACCTCTCCCAGCTGGCTGAAGGAAGGGAGAGGATTTACCTCCCCCTTCCTCACACGTCACTGCCTCCGGTCCGTCCAGGAGGGAAGGATCACGCTCTGGCAGGAGGGGG